CTTCTCAAGTTCAGCCAAACCTTTAAATTAAAAAAATACCCTTAATAAGTTAATTTCTTAAGCGTCACCTTGTGTGTACAGCACGGATCCTTGAAATGATTAACAGAGAAAAAGATTGGTGGCAGCCCATAACATTCCCCTTATTTAGAAAGCATTTGGGGCAGACTCTATAATCCAGTCTTAAAATAGTCACCAGATTCTGACTTCAGGAGCTTAAGAATATGGAAGCCACAGCCACATCACTTGAACGGTAATTAGCATTAAGTTACATCAAGTTCATTTCTCATTTCACACTATAGAGACCCCTGAGTTCTACCTCAGCAGTAATGGAGGGAAATTATTCAGGTATTCATATATGCCAAATCACACCAGGTACTCTCAGGGGAAAAATATTCCTTCGATAGAACTTAGCAAATAAGTTATTGTCTGTTGAAATCCATATCAGTTTTCAAGTTACCCAGCATTGGTCTTAAAGCCAGTCCTTTTCTTCTCTTCCGTGTTGTGAGGGGGACACCTTGGGTGGCCTGTCTAAAGCCATGTGCTTTTCTTGGCATATTTGTGGGAGACAGCCACGGGAATTACAATGACTGAGACACCTCATTCTCAGAGCTCCTGCTTCTCGGCTTTCTTTCATAGCTTACGTTGGAGGGTGCTGCTTCTGTTGGCAGTTGGCTGGGGGAGATCGAGAGAGAGAGAGTCTTCTTCTACTGACCTGTTAAGTAACTTTTAATGTAAGTAATTGCTCAGCGAATTTGGTCTTTAAGTACTTCTACCTGCAAGGCTGAGCAGCTGGGGAGGCTGATTATACAGTGAGGCCAAATGATAAAACTCCTCCCTTCTCTCTGCCTTGCACATGGTGGCTTCACTCAGAAGCCAGGTGTCTGGTGGCACACGTGTCCCCTTCGGCCAAAGGGCCTGAGCTGGCCTGAGAGACTTCATATGTTGGAACTGTGTTATTATTTCTTACAGGAACCCATCTCGGTGTGGTTTGAACCAGCCAAACCAGACTTCCCTTCGGGATAATATTTAATCAGGGAAATTTTCATCTCATGATGGGCTGTGCTCTAGGGATTGAAGAATGACCAAATTTACTTAAGTTATGAAAACTTAATCAAGCATCTTCCCAAATGGGATTATTCACATTCCTGAGGTGTATGATGCAAAATTAGAATCTGCTCCAACGTTTTCTCTGGAAGCAGGTGGCAGTTTTGTAACCAGCCTTTAGGGGGAAGATGCCAGATGTCCAGATGGACAAGGAAGTAAGTAAGCTTCCCGGGAAGGCTGGCAGTTGAAGGGCATGAATGGAGTTGCAGATCGTACTTTGGAGCCAGAGTGAGACGGTTGCTCTGGAGGAATCATTGAGAGGCTGCTTATCACACAGCTTTGTGTTCAAGTGTCAGGCCGTGAAAAGTCCGGGCCCTAAGTATTTCTGGATGACTGAGTGTAGAGTTCATCAAGGCTGAACCAGCTTCAAACCTGCTGCTGAATTAGTGACAGCCATTGTTCGGTTATCACCCCTGGGTGTGTGGGGGCAGGGGCTTGATTGCTAAACCAGGGGGATTAAAACAGTCTTCCCCACTGAGAGCTATTGATTCTGCTGACATATTTTCTGGGTATCATTAAATACAAGTAACCCTGAAAATATATATAATGGGAAAAATAAAATAGCAAAATTATTCAGTTCTATCTAGATATTTCTGCTTGGGGAAGGTTCTGAGCCTGAGGCCTTTTTTAAAAAAAATTATTATTATTTAGACAAGGGAGCTTAGCAAGTATTAGAGATGTGTTAAAGACAAGCTGATACTCAACTGAGACTTTATCTAATACAAAATACATGCAATGACAAAATGCCACTTAGTATTAAGGAACTCTTTCAATGAGCGTGGATTTTATTAAACTCAACAGCAACTACATAACTTTGAAATATAGTGGTAGATGGATATGTAAAATGTACTCTCTCAACCCTCAGAAAATGAATGCTTGGTGAATATATGCATTGTCAAACAGGGGCTTGGTCTTGTTTACAGCTGTCTGTTAGATTTCTAGGGCTGCCAAACAAAGTACCACAGACTGCAGTGGCTTAAGCAACAGACATTTATTTCTCACAATCCTGGAGGCTAGAAGTCTGAGATCAAGGTTTCAGCAAGTTGATTTCTTCTGAGGCTTCTCGGCTTGGCTTGTAGATGGTCGTCTGCTTTCTGTGTCTTTACATGTTCGGCACCCTATGCATGTCTAATCTCCTCTATATAAGGACATCAGATATATTGGGTTAGGGCCAACCTTCATGGCCTCATTTTAATTGAATTTCCTCTTTTAAAACCTTATCTCCAAATACAATCACATTCTCAGGGTTAGAATTTCAACATAGGAATTTTGGGTGGACACAATTTAGCCCCAAGCAAGCTGTATCCTTCCTAGTTTCTAGAAGAGTGCTTTACACATAGTAGGTGCTCAATAAATGCATATTGACTGAGTGAATGGGAGAGTGAGTGGATGACCCTTCAGCCACTGGGAGGGTCTATGTTATCAAAAATTTCTACTGATTTAATATTGTTTAATCTTTTCAAGAATTGTTTTCATCATTGCCTATGACTACGTACTAGCTTGATTATTCATAAATTTTTTCCCAGTGAACTCATAAAGGATCTGCTCTTGCCCATTGTAGACTCCTTCATTTATCCATCCACCACCCACCCATCCACCCACCCATCAATCTATCCATCCAATCCAACCATCCATCCATCCATCCATCCATCCATCCATCCATCCATCCATCCATCCATCCATCCATCCATCCATCCATCCATCCATCTATCCAATAAGTGTATAACTAGGAGCTATGGTTAGTTGGTCCTGGCTTCTTTCTCTGTCTTCATTTTCTTGGTTTCACCTATAATTATGTCATAAGTCTTGGTCTGCATATACAATACCCAGGAATCCTTACCAGATTATCAACACATCTGCAGACCTGGATCTGGCCAAGGCCTTTTAAATTTCAGAAGGCTCCACATCTTCCCAGCCTTCGCTACACATTAGAACTACCTGGGAAGCTTTTAAAAACTTCCATTGCCCAAGCCTCAATCTGGACTGATTGAATTGAAGTCTCTGGGGAAGAGGTCTGGGCATCTGTATTTTGTCAACCTCCCCCCATGATTCCACTGTACAGCAAGTACTGAGACCCAAGGAACTCCATGCCCTCTGGAGAATAATCAGATTACGTAATTATAAACTCCAGAGTGCCTCCATCTCCCAAAGACGCTTCCTCCCTGCTTTGACCATCCTTACCAACTCTCATTTTCCAGCATGGAGACACACTTGTCCATCTGTTAAGACTCATTGAGTACTAAATGTGGGAGCTATTGGGAGAAAATGTAAACATAACGTGGTCTTTCTTGTTTTGTTTTGTTTTGTTTAAAGAAAGAAAGCTTACAGTCATGTAGGAAAACCAGAAGTATGTATATTTGCTGAACATAATGCTATTTATTCACGTATTTATTCATTCATCAGCTATTTATTGAGCAGCCATTATATATATATATCAGGCTTGGAGGTGAGCAAGAGACAGTGCCCATCCCTATGGATTGGCAGCTTGGCAGGAAAGAGAGAGTTTAAATAGTAATAAGGTGTGGTGTATATTATGGCAGAGAAGAACAGGGTAATCTAAGGACAAAGACCAAGGGATTTAACCTGGTTTAGGGGGCAGAGAGCATTCCCTTCAGGAACTGATATATAAGCTGAGATCTCAAAGATGAAACAGTCAACTAGCTCAATGTAGACCTCATGAGAGCAGAAATCATGTTTGTCTTATTATACTCCCAGTACCTGGCTCACCGAGGGGCTCCGTAAATTTTTGTTGAATGAATAATGAAAACCTAGGGGAATGTTTAGCATGTCTGAAGCAGAGAGTGTCAGAGGGGAAAATCTCAAGGTTTGCAACTGGAGGGTAGGCAGAATCTAGATCAGGGAGTCTTAAAAGCTATAAAAATGAATTTGGACTTCATCTCGGTGTCAAGGGGAAGCCGCTGGAAATTAGGCAGAGCAGCAACTGGTCAGATTTGTACTTTAGAAGAGTCACTTTGGCTGCGATGTGGCGTTGGAGCGGAGGGGTGTGAGAGATTAGAGACCAAAGGTTATGGGATGGAGCTTGGGCGATGGTTGATGGTCGGCTCTAGGGAATGGAGAGAGGAGGGTTATCCAGGCAGAGTAGATTAGGTTTAGTGGCAGATCGATTAGATTTGGGGTGAGGGAGGAAGTGAGGTGACCCCTGGCAGCTGGTTTAAGAAACTTATAGGATGATGATGCTATTCACCGGAGCAGGAAGCTCTGGAGCAGGGCAGGCTTGGGATACAGATGCAGTGTTTATCTCAAGCCATGCTGAGTCTGGGGTGCCCAGGGGCCATTCGAGCGGAAATGTCCACCAGGCAGTTGGGTGGATGGGCTAGTTGCTCAGGAGAGAGGCCTGAGCTGGAGGCAGAGTTGTGGGTTGACTGTGCATAGAGGGATGGTGGAAGCCATGGGAGTGGTGAGGTCTCTGGGACGATCCTACAAAGAAAGTGAAAGAGACTGAGTGAGTTCACAGTTTGCAACTACCTTCCACAGCTAATTAGCTATTGTTCTGGTGGAGGCCTGAACGACCCCTCCTTCTCAAGTGGAATGTTACCTAAATCATAACAAGACTTTTGGGGCTTGTGAAATCCTTTAACGAGAACACTTAATAGCTACCATTTACTGAAGAACAAAACATGCATGAGGCACGCTGGCTTTTGTTAGCTGTGTGGCTTTGGGGAAATTACTTCCCTCTCTGTTTCTCAGTTTCCTAAGCCTTAAAATGAGGCTAAGAGCACTTCCTTCCCAGGATTGCTGTGCGGGTTGAATGTAGGCTCTTGGAGCATTTCAAGGAGGCTGTTAAGCACTAACATTTGTTCTTATCACCTTTATCATTGTTATTCATTCTATCCTTCCATTTTTTCTGCACAGTAGGAATCAGTAACATCCTTTTCAGGATGAGGAAACTGAGACTCAGAGAGGCAAAGTAACTTGTCCAGGGCCCACCCCTAACCTGTAAGGACTCTCGGTCATAAGAAATGGAAATCCCCTCGCGCTCACTTAAGGGGGCGTATGTGGGCTGGCTGATTGTGCAACCCAAGCAGATGCCGGAACTGTGAACATCTGTCAGGACCTCGTAGTTGCAAACAAGAGAAACCCACTCTGGTTGTGCTAAAACAAAGGGAATTTATTTATTTCATTTTATTTTTTACACCTACAGCACCTGGTCTTCCTAGGTGGTCTCCCATCCAAGTACTAACCAGGCCGGACCCTGCTTACCTTCCGAGATCAGACAGGATCGGACTTGTTCAGGATAACATGGCCATGGACTTAAAAACAAAGGAAATTTAAGAAAGACTGCTGGGGCACATAGAGCTTGTGGCTAACTACAGATGGTACAGGCCCCAAGGCAGTCAGCAGCTCCAGCAGGGGCTGCCTGGGCAGGCAGCCACCACTTCAGTCACTGGAGTGAATGACCCCCATCAGTCTGTCACCCAGCTTCACATCCTGGGAGTGGCAAGCCGTTGTGTTCATCCAGCTTAGGACGCGCTTCTCTATGTGAGGCCTCTGGGATGGGCAGAAGGGTCTGGCTGCCCCCTAACATAGTGAGGCGGGGCCCTGGGATGACCAGTCCCTGCAAGGGGACTCACAGTGGAGAAAAGTCACTCCCCAAAAGAAATAGGGA